CCCCAAAACCCCAAAACCCCAAAACCCCGTGATAGATAAATATTATTGGATTTGTATTATATAAATGGGGAAAAATCAAAGCAATCCAAAGCGTACAACTAAAAATGAGAAGCTTTCTCAACAAGCCATGCTTGTACTCAAGTGAGATAGATCTCTAATAATGTATAGAGTGCGAACCAAGTATGAAAAACTTACATCGAAAGCCACATGACACAGAACTGCCTTGAAGATCTATTCAAAAGTTCAGAATAATAATTTAAAAGCAAGGATTTTCCAAATTTATAACTGAGTTGTCTCATTAAAGACTCAGCTAGATGCCTCGAATCCTGAGAAGTTAGGGATCAAAGATAAAAGCTGCAACAAAAAATACAAGAGTCTGAAAAAAGAACTCGAAGATCTTTTAGAGGAAGCCTGCAAAATAATCCAGATGGCCGAAACCCAGCAAATCATTTATATTGACTCCTCAAGTATTCTCATTTTTTGTAGTAGTTTATTCGGAAATGCATTGCATGAGTGCATAAATTTTTGATACCTTCTCCTACTGATAAAGCTCCAATGATTTCACTATGATTCTGGCTTTTTGATTTTGAACTTGACAAAGCTTTTATAGCTTTCTAAAATTGTTACTAAGCCATCACACTTTTTAGGTCAAAATAAATATGATCAAGGCATCATAGTCAGATTTGAGAAGAGAATCTGAAAGCAATCCCAAAATATCGAGTCCAAAATATTCGATTCTCTTGCTGAGAAATGGTGTAGCGAGACATTCAAAAAAGATTCCAGATCTGAATTCTTCCTCTAAACCTAAGTATCCGTAGGGGTTTCCGTATTTTGGAAAGTTTGAAGTCTCTTCCCCTCTCTAATTTATACAGATAAAAACAAAAGCTGTGAGCAATATAAGTCCGAAAAACTTGCCTGCTTTGAAAAAATTTCTTTGAAATTCACCCTGAAGAATGCAGAAATTAGATCTGAGGTTTACTCTTGGTTCTTCAATCAAGAAGGCCAAATATCTAAAAAGCATCCTGATTGTCAGTTATAAGGTAAGCTCTGAAGTCAGAATTGAGACCGCAAGTATAAGCCAATCTTTATTGATGAGGGTTTTTACTGCATGTCGTAATACAAAGAAATTATTCTTTTCATATTGCAGGCTTTCTGTTCCAAAAGTGCCAGACTTCGGCTACTCTTTGGATGGAAGTACAATCACAACATTGACACTGTCCAATTGAAGAATAACTGGGTCTATAAACAGTAGAGAATCTATGGATGGCTTGTCGAAGCTGGTAGAAGGATTGTCAAAATCACAAGACTTCAAAGAAGCTTTAAAAGAATTCGATGGACTTCATTCTTTTAATGATCAAAGCGAAGTGACGAAAATATTTAGAGAGCATGGATTTGAAGATACTTATGTTCTGTCGAGTTTATACTCCTAATTATTTGTTCATGTTGAATATTAATATTCAATATATCATTCTGAACTCGGGGTTTTGGGGTTTTGGGGTTTTGGGGG